AGTCAGGAGTGGGATGGAATACTCCCCACTTGCCCCTGGATGGGGGCAACGACACTCAAGAATCTCGACACCATCCAGGACAAAGTAGCCCCCACCCACACCCCCACTGCTTGACTTTTTTGTAGCTTACTCACGTGATGTGGGCGTCGTTAACTGGGCCCAGCATTTACTGCTCCTTCCCCAATTGCCCCCCCTTGTGAAGGTGGGGGTGAGCTGCCTTCTTGAGCTGCTGTAGTCCACTCGCTGCAGGCAAGTCCCAGGAAGGGCAGCGGGAGTAGATTTGAAAGGAGGGAATGGGAATCAAAGGGGAATGATTTGCAAGGGTGGAGTAGCAATACAACACAATGCGACGAATGGCCACCTCCAGTGCTATACAGCTGAATCTCAGCAGCAGCAAATTGTCTGTCACCTGATTCACTGATTAAATTATTTTTGATCTTTGAGGTCTTATCTCCCATCGTGAAATGCCAAACATTGTTCAGAAAGCTGAGGTTTGCACAATCTCCTTCAGATTGAGATTGGCAGCCTTATGACGATCTACAACTCAGATTATAGATCAAAATCAGCATTGAGTCACACAAGGCTTCATGAGTTGCAAGTCAGAACTTGGTGATATTTGTGAGAAACGCAGAGCACAGGGAGCCCCCGGGCCTGTTCAGGATTCGCTTTCGAGTCTGATTGCAGAAATCACAGGCCAGTCACTTACACAAACCAGCCTTCCGTCCACTGACTCCATCTACACTTCCCATTTCCTCTGGAAAGCAGCCTACATCATCAAAGGCCCCTCCCACCCCAGTTATACTCTCTTCCACCCTCTTGAAAAGTTTGAAAACCACAGATTGAAGAACAGAGATAACAAGGTGTAGATCTGGATGAACACAGCAGGACAGGCAGCATCAGAGGAGCAGGGAAAGCTGACGTTTCGGGTCTGGACCTTTCTTTGGAAAATGAAGGACCTTTTCTGAAGAAGGGTCCAGACCTGAAACATCAACTTTCCTGCTCCTCTGATGCTGCCTGGCCTGCTGTGTTCATCCAGCTCTATACCTTGTTATCTCAGATTCTCCAGCATCTGCAGTTCCTACTATCTCTGATTGAAGATAAGCTTCTTCCCAGCTATTATCAGATTTATGAATAGACCTCTCATATATGAGAGGTGATCTCTCTCTGCACCTTCTCTGCAGCTGTAACACTATGTTCTCATTCTGTTCTATTACCCTGATGTACTGATATAAGGCATGGTTTGTCTGGTTAACGTTCAAAACAATACTTTTCACTGTATCTGGGTTCATGTGAGAATAATAAATCAAATCAAATCGTAAGTTGATTGGTACCCACTTCAGAACACAACAAGATAAAATGTAAATGCAAGGGAATGAGAGGAATTCAGAATTGACTCCCATGTACGGGATCGCATTTGTGACAATGAATGTTGGTAAGTCAGATCTTTATGAAGTGGGGACCCTGATATAGCAACCAACAATTGCTTTTAGGAACGAGAGATCAGGATCTGTGCATTTTTTTATTATTGACGTTAGATCACATTGACATCCTCAGTGTGGGTACTCAAGACCTGGAATCAAAATGTCCAGGAGGGTCACTCAAAACATTGCAAACCATGGAGGAACACATGGTATTTCTGAGGGAGACAGGCAGGCCAGCGCAATTTAGCAGCTAAAATCTAATGCAGCCAAGGGGTTAATTTCGACTGAAACTACGGAGAGAGACAATACAATCGAACGAGTGGAATTCTAATGGAAGAAACAGGCATGGCTACACACATCGCCGAAAGTGCCAAGACACTGAAGAGAGTTAGAAACAGGATATTGTATCCAGCACTTTATTAATAAGGCCATCGATTACAAATGTTGTTGATAAAAGATTGAATGAGTTGTAGCCAAAGCAGATTGCCCATTTCTGGAGCCCGCACTTCATGAAAGGGGGTGAAGGCTTTCCAGAGGGTACAGAGCAGTGGCGTGACAAGGTTCCAGGGTCAATGTTCCTTATGAGCTGGATGGATTGCAAAAAGCTGGCGATGGTAAAGAGGAGGCTTAAGGGACTGATCAAAACGAAGAGTGGAGACAGCGTGACTTCAGATGTTTGTGGTGGGGGGAGACAGGGGCCAACTCAGCCAGGATGGAGATTGATTGTCACAAAAAGTACAGCGAAGAATGTTTGTTACGAGCCAAGTAACGTCTCTCTCCACTGCCATCTGGCTGATGAAAGAGATCAGGCAAAACCGGTTAAGGTCAGGAATGGGAACTTAGAACCACAGGAGAGGCTAATCAGCCAATCAGACCGGCTCTGCCATTCAATACAAACGGGGCAGAACGAGGGCTTTGGTCTCATTGACCAACACGTCCCAGGTAGGTTCAGGGGAGCCTTTAGACAACCAGACCCCACCCTAAGGCACACGAAGTGAGTTGGGAGGGACCCAGGGAACAAGCAGCTGATTTGAGGAAGAGGTCAGATTTAAGGAGTGTCTCCAAGAAGGAGAGACAGAGACAGAGACAGAGAGACAGAGAGACAGAGAGACAGAGAGGGAGAGAGACAGAGACAGAGAGGGAGAGAGACAGAGAGGGAGAGAGACAGAGAGACAGAGAGACAGAGACAGAGAGACAGAGACACAGAGAGGGAGAGGTGGACTGATTCAGGGAGGGAATTCCTGAGCTCAGGACCCTAGGAGGCTGAAGGGACCACCTTCAATAGCGGAGTGATGGGAATCGGGAGGTCGGGATTGGAGGGGGTTACACAGATAGGGAGGGGCTGTAGGGGCTGGAGGGGGTTACAGAGATAGGGAGGGGGTGTAGGGGTTAGAGGGGGTTACAGAGATAGGGAGGGGGTGTAGGGGCTGGAGGGGG